TAAAAGTTTTTTAATAATTTTAAAAAATTTTCTTAACAAAGTTAATAAAGTAGATCTTTAAAAATATATTTTATTTAAAAAATATATTATTAAAATTAATATTTAAGATTTTATTAAAAATTAAAATTTAAAAAAATAAATGCAGACAAATTTGCCTGTGTTACAATTTAAGAGATAAAAATATTTTTACTAGTAAAATTTTTAAAAGATTTCTAAAAAGTGTAATAGTGTTTATAAGCTATTTGTAATTATATAAAATATTTTAAATATAAAAAAAATACTAATAAAACTTTGTGTAATTATATGAAAATTGTGATTATAAAGAAGATAGCTATAGAGAAAAAAAACTGTATTTACAAAACTTTAATTTATATATAAAATTTTAAAATTATAACTAATAAATCATCAATTAATATAAGATATAAACAAATTATATTTACAAAACTCTAATTTATATATAGAATTTGCATTATATTACACTAAAATTATAACTAATAAATTATAGATTAATATAGTATTACTAAATAATACTAGTAAAACTAGTAATTATCTAAAATTTAATCGATTATTATATTAAATTTTACTAGTTTTACCAGTTTACCAAAAGTTTTACTAATTTTATTGGTAAACTTGATAAACCAAATTTTTAGTAAGAATTTCTAAATAAGAAAATTTTTAATATGATGGGCTATATACTGTATAAACATATCAAGTCTTAGATTAAATACAATCTCTCTACTATATACCAAATACTTGAATCCAATAGGTGTTTAGAGCCAAATACTGTATATGGGGCCTTTGCTATGATTTTTTTTTACTAAAAATAGATTGTTATGATTTTACTAATTAAAATCTTGTGTAACAATAGCTCGGAGGGTCATTTTGTTAGCAAAAGCCCCATATAGTTAAAGCAGATCTTAATAAATAGACAAAAAAAAAGTTTTTAAACACATTATATATTATAGATGTTACCCGTATAACAAGAGATTCTATTTGTAAGAAAAACTTTGTACGTATATCACTGCATATACCGCATGTTAGACTTTTTTTAAATAAAGTTCTGTATATACATATTTAGGTTTTGTTATTTTATTATGCTTTAGAAATAATTCTGCAAATTTATAAAATTTAAAGATGCGCCAAGAAAGGGGTTTTCCGTGTTAACAATTTTACAAAATGAAAAAATTGATAAAATCTAGAAACAGACTAACATCTATTAACATAAAAAGATGTTTTATTCGTCGACATTTTTAAATATTTAAAATTACTCAAAATTTTATTAAGATAACCTATTTCAACTTTCTAAGTAAAAATGGTTAGAATTAAATATAAAATAGATTTTTTAATTACAAAGATGAGCTTTGGACACCTGGACGTTTGGACGATAGACATGCTAAAAAGGCTTTAGACATCCCTGCGTACGTACGTATGACCAAATACAACTCGTATCACGTTGTTTTATCAAAGAATTTAAGTGGTTTCGCGTTTTTTTTCCACCTGTAACACGAAGCTTTATACGACTAAATTGTACAATAAACAATTTACACTAACGGCAACATTGAAACATCTTTATCTAAAAAACTTTCCACTACCGGTATATTGAAACCGTCTAATAAATGGTTAAATTACAAAAAAAGTTTAGTTAGAAATGATTCACGCAATACTCTTGATTTTCTGAATTCAGCGTAGTTTGTACAACGACAGTAAAATTTTAATACCATTTGAAGGATTATATCTTTGTTAATTGGTGATTCTTACATGTAAAACATGCAGTAATGTGATCGACTTGACCTATCATTTACGACCAGAGAATCACTTGTAATCCAATCTTATTATTTGGTATTAAATAATTAAGGTGTCATTTTTGAACCGGTCTTTCGGGTCAAATTTGTTTATTAAACAATTATGTAGGAAGGCTATCAGAAGGTATGATCATCTCTCCACAACGATAATTCTTCCATCAAAGCACACACGTATTTTATAAACATAATTTGATCTAGAATCATAGCTTATTTTTATTCAAATAATGTTTTCTAATGGTTCTCTTAATCTGAACACGTCTGAAAATGATAATCTTTCAAACTTAGATAAGTCTGAATCAAATACCAAGCTTTCAGAAAATGCTGAGGATCTTGAAGGATCTACAACAAATCTAATAGGTATTCCTCATAATGTCGTGAAGACGAAATATTTTCGAATTAAGACAATTAAATAGGCCTGTTTTGCATATAAATTTACTAATTAAGACCTAAATGCGTCTACAGTAGTAGATCCCGTCATGTCAATTACTGATGAATGTGAAACTCTTAACCTTGAAACTTCCTCTCCTATAAAATCAAAACGAATGCCATACCGTCGTCCTATTTCTACTGCTAATGCTCAACCACCAAAGAAGGGCATATTGAAACCTATCTCACAATCTAATGCTCGATCGATTTGGAAAAGTGACTGGTTCTCTACCTTTAATGCGCGTCTTCAAAACGTCACAAACTCCACTGCTATGTCTACGAATTCAACCTCTACTGCTTCTTTTTTCACAAATGCATTGAAAAAGCTGAACGCGTCGACATCTTTACCTTTTCAGGAGGATCCACCGAAAGAAACAAATCCTCAATTGCCTCTAATAACCATTACATCAACTTCTGATCAGGTTTCTCAATCCAATGTTCAATGCTCTCCTGCCTTGTCAAATAGCAACCACCTTACCGCCAAGTCCCTTAAACGAGTTCGTTTTTCAGTCACGAAATTAACAGATGAGTATCCGCATTCTCCTATT